AAGATTTTAAAGATAGACATAAGACTAACTTCGGCCTTTTATCCTCAAACTGATAGATAGACAGAGAATGTAAACCAAGTTTTGAGGCAATATTTAAGGTATACGATCAATTATCAACAAGACGATTGAAAAATTCTTTTGCCATTGGTAGAGTTTGCTTATAATAATATGGTGCATTCTTTTATACAACAAATATCTTTCTTTGCCAATTATAGTTATCATCTACGACTTGATATTTTTGATTTTTTAATAGTTGACAATCCTGAAGGAGAAGATTTGGCAAATTGTTTGTCAGAGCTATATACAACAATAAAGGCGCAATTAAAGGAAGCTCAAGAGCAACAAAAGATCAATACACATATCTATTGAAAAGAATAACTAAAATTTAATATGAGTGACAAAGTATGATTACTTCATTGCAACATCAAGACTTCTCATCTTTGTGACAAGTTGGACTATTATAGGCTTGGACATTTTTTTTTTTTTTTTTTGAACAAATCAATCCAGTTGCATATTGATTACACCTACCGAAATCAATGAAGATCCATCTTATATTCCACGTGTCTCTTTTTTAATCACACAAGTTAGTGAATATACTAAGAAGAAAATAAGTATCACTTTTTCTTATAAAAGTAGATAATAATAAAAAAATTGAAATGGAAGTAGTTTTAGATTTAAAGCAATGTTGAAATAGGTTGAAATATCTTGTTCATTGGCATGGATATGATATTAATGAATGCACATGAAAGCTAGCAAAGAATCTTGCAAATGCAATAAAGAAGGTGGAGGCTTTTCATCAATGACATCCATCAAAACCAAAATAAAGATCTTTTTTATAAAAAAAACAAGATCTAGTCAAGATAACATTTTACTTTCTATTTTTGTTGCAGTTTCTTTGTATTTGTCATACTAAGGAGATGGAGAACCAACAACCAATGGATTTGACTCAAAAGCCTTTATTTACTAACCTATTGGAGAAGACATTACAATTGTCACAACCTTCAAGATAATTCAATCGAGATGAAGATCATCAAGAATAACATATTCTTCCTTGAATAGATGGCAAGATACAATGCATTTGGTATCATGATCTTAGAAGGGACTCTCGATGTTTGATGATTTTACTAGAAGTAAAAACAACTCTTGACAATGTTGCAAATATTTTATTTGAAGGAAGTTATGAAGGCCTCAACAACAATCAAATAAGTAGGTGGTCTTCCCGCCCTTGTATGAGAAACTATCGATGGTTAAGAGGCCCTATCAACCATCTTCGAAGAAAACAAAGATCTTAGTATGTGGCAAATACAATTTGCCACATCTTGAATTTCTTCAACATATAATGATTACTCCTTATGGAACTTGTCTCTAGAAGAGAGAATAATGTCATGAACATATACATGTAAACCAATAATTATCTATATGATTAAATAGAAGTAGGTAAAAATAAGGAAAAGTATGTTAATTCTATAATATCTTCTATAGAAACTTCTTAGAAGCTTCATAGATGTTTCTTTGAATTTATAGGTGTCTATAATTGACTTTTTAGGATAGAAACATGGTCAACAAGTTAACCATGTAGCATACATGTTGGAAGCTTGAAGAACAAACTAACTATGTGGTGCTTCCATAAAAAACTTATCTTGTAAGCTAAGGCATGTGTCCTACAAAGTCAACACATATTAAAGGTCCTATAGAACATTGCTATGTAGCTCCTAATTAGATAATATATATAGATGTAAGAGTGAAGCCCTCTTCACTCTTGTCAACTCTTTTCTTGCTTCTAGTCTAGATTCAAGAGTCTCTAGTTTCCTTGTCTTTTGGCAATATCCATTCTAGTTTCCTTTTAATATACATATTTATTTATTTTTATTTTATTATACTTATTTATTTACTTTCATCAAGTTCTTGTCCATGATACATGGTCTATGTATTATTCTTAGAATCAAAGTTCTTACAACTTTGGTAACTATATTTATAGTTGGTTATTCACTTCCACTTTAGTAAGTGCATCTATAGCAATTGAATGACCAACAACAATAGTAAAAAAAAAAAAAAAAAAAAAAAAGACTTAGACCATCACCTAAAATAACATTCACAAACTCAAGATTATTAACAATCATGTCTAAAGTGTATGTAATAAGCTCAATTGAACCTCTCTTTGATATCACCAATCAAATCTTTCTAAAATGTCCAACTAATACAAGTGATGAAACTTCATGTTATAAAGTGCAAAAGCATTGGTTCATGTAGTAGAGCATTGTAATTTTTTAATGCAGCCACCATAGCTATACTTCTAGCTCTATAGAAGCTACAACATTTTTCCAATGATCAATAAAACCTCATAAAAGCTTTAAATTTGTACTACATAATGTAGATTATTAAAACTATCTTTAATAGTATTTGTGAATGTAGATCATAAAATGAGATAAAAAAAAATGTAGTATTTTTAATTTTCTACATAGAAATTATATGCATGTTTATAAATGAATTAACACATTTCAATTTTTAAATAAGAAAATTTTGAAGCAACAAGTCTTAATAAAAACAAGTCATTTATTCAACAAATTATAAGTAAATCCAAATAATAGACTACATATATTTTGTTTATAAAATTTCCAAAGTATATTCTAATTGTAAGTGATGATTATGGCATACATTTGTATAAGATGGTTTTAATTTTTTTAATAGAATTAGATTTTTGTATTTTGCTATTAAGTAATATTTTATATTTATTTTGCTACCAATTCACATATATTACATGTAAAGTTGTCAAGTTAAGAATGTTAATAATTTATCTATTGGCTTCAAGAAACTAATAATAACTAATAAAAACTTAGTTTTGCTTATTGTAATATAATATGATTTTTTTACAATTGTTGTTTGTAGAAAATTTAATATAAATTTAATAAATATAATCAGATTTAATTAAAATCATCTATTTTGGACCAAAGACCTATGCAACTATTTTTTCAAATTATCTGATTTTTAGATAAATATATATTAAAATTAATAAGATATGTTTAATATATAAACATTAGGAAATAGAATTAATGTGTCAAAAATAAATGTCTTAAGAAATTTAAAACTAGACTTTTCAACCATTATTTTAAAAAATTGACTCTAACTTGTCTTTTTTATAAGTTTAATTTTTTTGTCTTACATACCAATATAATTAGTTACAATGCAATTTGTAGAATGCCACAAAAGCTAATCAATTTTTTTTTTTTTCAGTATGCTTCTTGTAAATATATTTTAAAATATCCTTAATTTGCCATAATAAGCCTCAAAACTATTCTACATATTTTTATGTGCATTAATAAGATAACACAAATTTATCAATTATATCTTAATTATAAAAAAATATTTTTGTACACCACAAATAAATATTTATTAATAAATAAATATTTATTAATAAATAATTATTTATGTTTATATTTATATAATATTTTTAAATAAATTAATACATAAATTTTAAATAAACTGAAATATAAAGTATATTTAAGTATATAGAAATATACTTAAATTATTATTTAAAATATTTTTATCAATTTGAAATAAAAAAATATGTATTCTATTTTAAGTATAATACTAAAATAAAATATATAATTTATAAAAGAAAATGTTAAATAGATCCATGCTTTTATTAAATCAAGGCACTCATGATGAAGAATATGACAATCATGATGAATGTGGTTGGTTTTTATTAGTTGCATATAATGGAAAAATGAATCTAGGGATTATTTTATTTTTGTTTTGTGATAATTAAGATGAGTAGATAAATTTAGAAAATGCTTGGATCTATTTAACATTCTCATGTATAAATCACTATGAGATTAAACCTTTAAATACTAAACAAGCTCTTTTATTAATGGATGCATCTTAATTAAAGATTTTATAGAGTTAAGTAGACTAACTAAGAGAGAATGAAGAAGTTATTGCAATCACTGTACACATGGACTTAAGTGGGAAAAGAAAAAAGAGTTAATGCATGCACTTCATGCAACAACAAAAGGTGTTTGTACATGCTAAGAAAAGATAACTACAAGTTAATTGTAATGTGGAAGAATGTCCATATAAATAAATCATCTTTCCATCCTATCTTTTATAAACATCCTTTTTATTGCTTTTACAGTTGTCTTATGTTAAAGCTTCTGTTGTTTGTTTTTGTTTCGTTTTTGTGTTTATTTTTTGTGTTTTTTGTGTTTTTTGTGTTTTTTTTTTTTTTTTTTTTTTACAATAATCTTTGTATAAATTTCATATTTTTAGCATTTTTTTTTCTCTCAATAGAAAAGGTTTGCATTATAAGGTAGATAGAGAAGATTCAATGAGTGTATACACCAAACTTGGTGTGCACAAGTCTACATCCAATAAATATTGTACCAGAATTTGACATGGACCCGACATACATATATGAAAAAACTATATATATATATATATATATATTGGACAAGATTTTTCTGTGCACAATACCTCAATCTAGAGTCAAGTTCGTTAGTGCAACGAGGTAAAAATGGCTCTAAATATTGATCAGCAATCAACTCTCTGCACCCAAATCATAAACTACACACACTTCCGAACCTAAAGTTAAGACTGCCTGTGCCAACGATTGTAATGCCATGATGGGCTATAAATAATCTCAGGCCAAAGAAACACACTAGTCTGCACAATATTTGCCTCTCCCAGCAAACCGCAGCAAGCAAGATGGCTACAATAGCTGGAGACAAAACCTCTCTTGAGACTGAATCTGTAGAAGACTAATACCTGCAGTTCCACGGACTTCACCTGTAAAACCTACTTTTTATAAAGAAAGAAAGATAACGAGCAGAATCATTCATCCAAAATCGCGTGGTGTTTATTCATCCAAAGGAATGTGTGGCGAGGATCTACCGAATTCCCCATTGTGAGAATATACTCGCCGAACCTCGCATCGACGCCACCGTAGATGGACACCCAGACATTCGGACAGACGCTGAATTGCGAGTGGGCCATCGCAAGGAATTAATTTTCACAGAACCCAGAAGCTTGATTGGGAGTTGATGGTCCCTGGGGCCCCTCTACAGCTCCCGTGTACCTTGCTTCATTGCTCTCGCTTGGATTTGCTGCGCGTGGCGATGCTGTCGTTGAAGTGTCCACGATGGTTGTCCATTTCTTGTGAAATTGGGAAGGTTGTTGCTTTTTTGTCTAGAGCTATCTCCTCAGGGTTTTTGTAGTAGATTAGGTGGATGTTGGAGGTTGTAAATACTGGTTGAGTTGTCGGAAACTGTGGCAAGGTCGGGGGATGAAGATGAGGCGATTGCGGGAACGAATCGGGGGTGCTCTGGGATTGGGTTTGTTAATGGTTCTGGTTTGGGTTACGATTTGGTGGAATCAGGGGATTGTGTATGAGGATGTGTTGCCTGTTCTGCCACACTCCGTTGCATGGCCGATCCTGAAGAAGACACGCAGCGCGGTGGATTTGTTGCCGCGGTTCGTGGGTGGAGTGGCGTCAGAAAACGTAAATGTCATGTGGAAGGGTGCTTGTTTCTATCAGAATGAAGCGCATCTTGAGTATGTCGAGGCCAGTGGGGAGGGTAAACGAGAGGGCTTGGTTCTTCACATAAAGGTGAATTTCTATCGATGTCTTCGTTCATGAAAACAGAATCCCCAAAAATTAGCGTGAGATTTAATTCCAATGTTGTTTGGGCTATTTTGAACTCTTCAGTCGTGTGATCAAAACGATTGATCTTGATTCCTGTGCCGAGCTGGGATATCTGAGTTGCAATACACGTACGTCATTGAATTGAGTACCGATATCGAGCGAGAGAAGGGAGAAATACTATCTTTCTATTTGCAGCTTATTACGTAGACTTTATTGACTGAGCCAATTGAGCAGACTTGGATACACAATCTGCACAGAAGCTGGGCAAAGGTATCGAATGGAACGCTAACAGCAGTATGATGTGATTGCAGACTAGCAAGGCCCACAGTTACACTTGTCTTGATCTCTACGTGTTTGCTACTCCTTATCGAGTGACATGGGATTACTACTTTCTCGCTCGGAACCACACATTAAGCATCAAAGAGTTGGAGGAAGGGGAACTTGAATATGTAAAAACCTCATATGCCTGTACTCTATCTTAGTGTATTCAGGTTCCATGCTCAATCACAAGAAGGAAACATGGTTTGAACTTGTTTCTGAAAAAAAGCTTTATTCATAGCTTGTTAGGTTTGGAATACTTGTGATTCTTATTCGCTTTAGTCTTGTCTGCTGAGCGTTGCACTATTTCATGTTTCTTCAGATAAAAAAGAACGGAATTTCAGTGTTCTTGATGCCAGCTGGTATGCTGGGAACGCTGGTTGCCTTGTACGATGCATTGCCAATATTCTTCAACTCAGAGTGGGGTGAGAACGCGAACATTGCGTTTCTCAAAAAGCACATGGGAGCTCAATTCATCAAGAGAAGTGACCCTTGGGTTACCAATGTTACTACCGACGACATCCAATCTGGTGACTTTCTGGCTTTGTCGAAAATTCGAGGACGCTGGGGTGGATTTGAGACGCTGGAGAAATGGGTATCGGGGTCGTACTCTGGTCACACAGCTGTTTGCTTGCGTGATGACGATGGCAAGTTATGGGTTGGTGAATCTGGCCATGAGAATGAAAAGGTGAGCAGCAAATTTGTAGGAAATTCGCAGTATCTGCATTGGTTTCATATAGTCGCAATTGATCTCTAATTTTTTTATGTACTTTTCAGGGGGAAGAAGTGATTGTAGTTTTACCATGGGATGAATGGTGGGTTGCGCAAGTTAAGGACCCTGCAAATGCACATGTGGCACTTTTACCATTGCATGCCGACATGCGAGCAAAGTTTAATAATACTCGTGCTTGGGATTATGCTCTTCATATGAATGGAAAACCCTACGGCTATCATAATATGATTTTCAGCTGGATTGATACGCCCAATGCGAATTATCCTGCGCCACTTGATTGCAACCTGGTCTGCGCCTGTGTTTTCTAGGCATTGTGCATTTCAATTTCTAAAATAATTTAGAAGTAGCGTTCTACAACTTTGAGATCTATATGAGTTGACATGGATAAGGATTGGATTTATGTCATCGTTTTGAGGACCACAATCCATTAACATAATAGACTTTTAAAGTGCCCACAGAACCCTTACGTGAACCTTTGATAATTGCACAGTTGCAACTCCTCAAACGAGCTCCTGCACCGTCATCGCTGATATCTCAGATTTTTTTTTTTTTAAATCACCCTCGTCATTGTGTCAATAGGTAGCATCAGCGATTACAGTGTGGACTCGACTTCAACCCGATTATGCATCGAATATGTGGAATGAAGCTCTTAACAAGCGCTTGGGTACTAAGGTGATTCTATTATCTCAATGCCCTCAGTGTCTTATATTGTGATGCGTATTTCTTGAATCAAGCTGAAGGGAATGAGTGTTGGTCTCATTAGGCGATGCTCTCAGTGTACCAATAGTATGCCCATTTACTGATTTCATGCCTACATAATAGGCTTCTCTTTAAGCATAGGTTTGCATATTTGTTTCGGTCCTGTTTCAGTATCGTGAAAGTGAACTGTCCAGTTTCTTTGATCTTGTGTTCACTTCCTTACTTGAAGCGAAAAGATACAATCTATGTTTAATCTTCTGTATTTCTGTGTTCCTGGCATGGATGCGTATATTTTTCAGGGTTTGGACTTGCCAGGCGTAATGGTTGAGACTGAGAGGCAAGGCATTCCTTTTGAGGAGCTCTTAGCAATACCAGAGAAAGATAATTGGAAATATAGCGATGGATATTCAACTTCATGCGTGGCTTTTGTTCTTGAAATATACAAGCAAGCTGGTCTGTTTGGTTCAGTTGCAGATTCCGTTCAAGTTACCGAGTTTACTGTAAGCTTAAAGAACTACCATGCCTCTCCTTGCCTCCCTTGTTGCAGCTCCATGTTTTCGAAATTTGTATTTAATTGTACTCCTCAGGTCGCTCTAAAATTGTCTTCAAGTCGTTCACAGTTATTAGTCATTATCCAAGGTCAGATCTGAGGAGTAATGTACGTAGTTTCATATGTTTCTTTCCTTGTGCAGGTAAGAGATGCATATATGCTTAAGTTTTACGAGGACGACAAGTCACGATTACCCGCCTGGTGCGGCACAAGCAACACATCTCGAACTTACTGTCAAATCCTTGGTGAGTATGACATGGAATTGCCAGGTTATAACACGATAGAGCCATATGCAAACATGAATGAAAGATGCCCGAGCCTGCCACCATCGTACGATAGACCAGCCCAGTGCTAACCAAGTCTTTGCCATTCCGTAGTACCATAATTCTTTGATCAATGATACCATATGTAGTGTAGTCTGTGTAATATGCCTGTCAGTCTTGAATTAATGATACGTAAACTTAGAAGATATTGTTCTGCACTGAAAGAACCAAGCTAAACGCTGTGAGTAGGAGCTCGTTGCTCATGGGACCATTACCCGAAGAGAACATTTAGTCATAATTGAGCTTAGAAATCTCTTCTCAGCATCAGCATTACTACAATATCGTAGTTGTAACCTCAGCTTTTCAACGGGCTGGTTCTTTTCCCATCAATGTACGTATTGTAATATTTAGTATTCTGGACTCAGATTTCCACATGTAGAAACAGGAGTCGTGTGTAAATAATACATTGTACTTGTATTATTAAACAATGTACTTTTCCTTAATACTGCTCGCCGTCGTAGTCTAGCACTTGGATTCTGTGAAGACTTACAATATAGTGCAAGCAAACCTTTGTAATTGTTGTCCTCAAACACATAAACAAACATCTTTCCCAATTACATATTCATTCAGCACAGCTTGAAGTTCACTGAACTCTTCATACAATCTGCATTAGACTACTAGCAAATACCAACCAACAATAGCGATTCAACTCAAAATACGTAGATTATCATTTGTCGTGTGTTTCAAATTGAAGATGTATGCAGGAAAGATGTTTTCACAACAAAGGTTGACTTCGTGACTTTACGATATATTCAGCTAAATAATCTCCACAAACGAGTGGGGACCTCATACGAAACACCTCTTGACACATCATCTACTTCCTTTTACCGCATGTGATGTTGGTAGCTGCGGTCCTCTTTTATGGTACAGTTTGCAGGGCATCGCATCACCCTACAACATCAATCCCCAATCTTTTCCTTGGCAGTTCCCGCGGCGATTGAATCTGCAAAATACTCCTGCCGCTGCAAGTTAACTCCATACTGCACGAATCCCACAACCATCCAAGTAAAATCAATGCACTTGCACCAAAGAAAAATGAGACTACTTTTAATTTAAATGTCATTCAAAACATCAACTCCTCACGAGAGAAGTATGAATGTTACTCAAAGAACAGTAAAAAAAGCAAGGATTTTGACAACCAGCCACCTATCCTGGATAGGATAACCAAGGAACAATGACGTCAGGAGAGTTTTCCGAGAAAGAGAAGCATATGAATCCTCAGAGCTGTCCGACTGAAACCAAGCATGCGCATCAAGAGGAGAAGGAGAGGAGACCAAAAAAACAAAACAAAAAATGACTATAATGAAGCAGTATTACTAACACACAATTTTACAATACTAAGGTAGATTGCTTGCCAAGCCAGTACTTAAGATATAATACTATAAGTTGAGTTGAAAACCTCACGTAAGGCTTGAGATAAATCTTCAGTATTCAAGACCAACCGCTTTTCCTGTCCATCAAACAGCGTACTCATCAGAGTCAAAACCATTGGAAAACAAGTAGATTCGGTAACCATGCTTTGTGGAACAGAAACATAATAAACAAATTATAATTTGTGTAAAGCTACATAATCACACCTTTGCTTGCACATGACCTTTCTTGTCCTTAGCTGCGGCTGTCTGCCGAATCTTGCAATACCTGTTGGAAAATAAAGCATACAGTAGCACCATGATATCAACAGCTGTGAAGGAATCTAAATCCTGTAAAAGTCACTTCTGCTCACCGAGCTGAACGATTTTCACAAAAGAAATTCACTAATCTTCCTTGTAAATTTCGAACTAGAGACTTTTACTATACATGATGCATGCATCACTACAACTAAAAATTTCAATTGCTAGAAATGAGAATTGAAGCACTTACTGCAGGGCGTCACTGGCAATTTCTCCAACAAATTTCTGAGCAGCAATGGACACAAGTCTTGTCCTGCAACATCCCTCGACATACTCAATTCGGCAATTCAGCTAAACAACTCAAAAACAAAAGCTACTCCAAATCCAAGTAATGATATAAAGCCCTAAGGTTACAATAACAGTTCTACAATCGCTGAAACTCCTGGAAGCGCTGTCCGATACCATGAACGAAAAAATTTCGATCATCAAATTCTGGACGGAAGAGATCTAGGGAACAGGTGCACAACATGGACAGGAACTTACACACGTATATCGGGGCATTGAAATCCGCTGCGGCTCAAATAGTGCTCAGCAAGCTCATCCGGAATCTGAGAACACAAATACATGAAACAGATAAAAACTAAGTCACAATTCAGATCTTTAAAAACCCTAAGCTCGGGAAAAATAGCCCCAAGGCAAACACATCAATACACCGTCAGTAACTAACCCATCAATAATCTTCATAAGCACTGGTATAGAAAATCAAACCTCATGCATTATTTGAACATGCAAACTAAGTCCGTTGAAAACTCTCGACGAGAGACACGGAAAAGAACCACAAAATATCCTGCGCGGTCGCGAGAACTCTAAAAAATGATAAATCATAGAAGTAACCCGCGATGCGAGAGTGCAGAGTATAACCGTAGGGGTATAATCCAACAAGGACGACAGGAAATCCACGAGCTGAGCATCGCTGTGAAGCGGAGCCGAATCCCCTGCACCAGCGGCCGCGGAACTAGTAGGCGCGGCTTGCTCTCTCCCATCCGCCATGTCGCTCAACCCGGAATGTCCACACCTGCAAATCGTATCCTTCCGGCGTTGATGTTGTAGTTATAGTAGTTGTTGTTGCAGTTGTCGTCGCAGTGACTGCACAAGTTTAAGGCCCCGATTGTGAGAAGCTCCGCTGCGACAGCCACTTGCGCGAGAAGAGCGACCATTACATTGCGTTCCTGCGTCGAGGCAGCGTCAACTCCCTCGGCTTTACCCTTTTCATTTACAACAACGAGAAGTGCGTAAATACCTGCAGACATAAAACAGTAGACGACGGAAGTGGAGAAAGAAAAAGCACAAGAAAAATACATGAAGAGAGTAAAAGAAGAAACTATATATATATATATATATATATATAGCTTTAGTTTCTCTTCAAATAAGTATGATGGTGATGATGCAAATATATCCATATGTATAACAAACCTCAAAGTATGTTGAACTCTGGTGAGTATGATGTTTTAAGAGAGGAATGGAATCCCCAACACATGAATTGAAAACTAAAAAAAAAACCAAATGAAATTATATTGAAATTTCTGTTTTACTTGGTTTTATACTTTAGTGCATATCTATTGCATGACCTGGTTTTGCTGTAAAATAACGTATATTTCGTAAAATTTGTAGTTTATATTTCGAAGGTTGTAATTTTAGAATTACCAACAGAATTTAGCATTTTATTCATTATGAATATAAACTCCAAGAATGGTATTCTTAATAAAATAACGTAAATATTATTTTCATATTCGTGCTAGGTTAAGTTAGTGTGATGTGAGTGGACTTTGTGGACCTTTATTTAAAGTAGTTTGGAGGTGGTCAGAGATCCCACTATCAGTAGCTCCAAAGTTAGAGGCAGAGGTAGAGGTAGAGGTGGTGCTCCTACTGCGAGATTTCATGGTGGAGGTATTAGTGCCCTGAAGGGCAAAAGGATGTTGCGGTGTGAGTGAGTGACTGAGTGAGTGAGTTTGTGGAGGATCGATGCGCAATAGCCAGCCATGCCGTCGCAGGTTGTGCGCCGACCAGGCCGCCAGCCGGATTATCACTCCATACCCTTACAATGTCCGCTGGTCATCGACAATGGAGCTTACCATTGCCGCGTCGGGTGAGCATTCGGCGTTGCGCGGGTTTTTTTTTTTTTTTTTTTTTTTTTTTTTGGCTTAATTTCTCGAAAGTGGTGCGGGGATTTTTGGCCAGTTTTTATCTAGGGTTTCGGTTGGAGAAGGCACTCGGAACCCTGTGAGAGATAGTCGATTGAGTATTGACCTTGCTTTTCATTAGTGTGATCGAAGAAAGAATTCATGTCATGCTTTTGTGCTGGTGGGTTTGGTGACTGATTGAACTATTGAAATGCAGCTGGGCCGGAGAGAACGATCCTCGACTAGATTTTCGGAACATTCTCAACAAACCTCGACAACGGGGATCCGGTATAATGATTTGGTTTTGTTATCTTTGACATGAGCCTCAGGGTTTAAGAGTTTGTTGCACGAATTTCAAATTTCCTTTAACTTTCTGAGGGTCATGAATTTTTTTCTGAATGATGTAACTGCTTTCCTTAGGACAGGGTTGTGTTAAGTGACTCGCGGAGATGTAGTAGTTTGTTTACAGAGTACATTGGTGGCAGGTGAATTGGTGAGTCTTGTCGGTGAGTTTGATCCGCAGTACGTCAAGCTGTTCGACTTCACACGGTCCTCTCTTCGTAGCCCGTTTGATGGAAATGTTGTATATCAGTTTGAAACTATGGAGTGCGTAAGTTCCTTCGTGTCCGATTTTCTATATTTCTATTCGTGTATTTTTCGCGATTACAGAGTTGCTGACTTTAATCTACTTCACATATATAATGCATTCAAACCTCGGCTTTTTTAAACCTAGGAAGAATTGGTATCAGGCAATACATTCATTTCGACGAAATATCAAAGAGTAATATGCTCGAGTTGCTAAATAAAATAAAATCGTGGTGTTCCCTGTTTGCAGATTCTCGATTATGCTTTTGACAGGATGGGTGTTGATGGAGCTGGGGTACTGCTAACACTTTTCTGTGGTTTAGCACTTCTGATTTCCAATTATTTTACTGCAATGTTGCAGTAGTTAGACATCTCTGGAGGAGAATTGACGAGAATTGACGAGGAGAATTGATGCATGGGAATTGGCTGATGTTGCAGATTGAGCATCCAGTATTGCTAACGGAGGGCGCTCTCAATCCCCCATCCTCTCGTAGTCGCATGGCTGAACTTCTTTTTGAAACGTATGGTGTCCCTTCACTCGGTAAGTTGTAACTTTTACTCTACATTCAGATCCACTTCTTCTTCTGCTGCTGCTTCTACTTCTTCAACTCCGCCTACTTTTCTTTTCTTTCCTCAATTTTATTATATTTCTTGTAGATTTGCCTTTTTGGCTAGAAATCCTCTTTGCAAGTTGCGTACTTCATAGGATTTTCTCGAACTTTATTGTTAACATGATACCTATTGACGCTGAGTAAATACATATCTGCACGGAATTCAAACAATTCTGGATCTATGGTATTTTGTTTCATGTTATTTGAAAGGTGCTTCGGAAGTTTTATTTATCACACGTTGTTTCCTTTCTGTATTCGCATGTTCCCTGTTTTAGATTTGCTTTCATTTTGTTGCTCAGAAGGAACACCAAATTAATAATTCTGTGGTTATTACATGGCAGCCTTCGGTATAGATGGAGTTTTTGGATATGCTCATAACCAGAAGCAGGGTGTATGCGAACGCGATGGGTTACTTGTCAATATGGGACATCAAACATCTCATGTCATTCCGGTAATTTTCCACTTTTGTTATGGGCTAGATGATTTGGAATAATCATAATTTGGCATACTGCTTTTATATGCCTTTTTTCCTTTCGTTCACCCAACAACTGGACAAAAGAACTTTTTTTGTCCAGTTCTTCTAGGATGTGATTTATGATGTATCCATTCAAACTCTGCTGATGCGGGGGTATGATTTAGATTGTGGCTGGGGAGCCGGTATTGGAGGCTGCCTGCAGAACCCCTGTAGGGGGCTTTCAGGTTACAAGCTACTTGAAGCGACTTCTATCTCTGCAGTACCCTTATCATGTGTAAGCAAATATGGTCTTCTACTTTTTGTCTTCTTTTTTTCATTCTATATATATATATATATATATAATTGTTTTGGAGTCGAACATGCCGGGTTTCTCTACAAACAAATGTTGAAATGAAATGAAGTATCTTTTGACTCTTGTTTGTTGTAATATGCAGTAGCAGCATCACATGGGAGAAGGCGGAAGAGCTAAAGCAAGAGCACTGCTACATTGCCGAAGACTATCATGAGGAGCTGAGCATTTTTGAGGTTCCGAATCCACATATTAGTCAGTTTTTAGTCTTGAAAGTTTGTGTTTATTAGTTGAATTGCAACAGACTGTTTATAGACCATTGTCTGTTTAACCTTTGTGGAATTTTGAGTTGTTAATTAGGGTGGTGGTGTAGTTAATCTAAGTCTTTCGATTCCCTAACACCTTGATTGGTTCAGGTTTGTCATATGGAGAAAAATTGTTGGTTTGGCACGAGCTTAAATATGTTATTTATATGCAGAACTATATATTAAGATTACTGTACTTTTTTAAGAAATCAATGTTGCTGTGGCCGAATTTATTATTGACCAAACCGACTATTACTAGTGCTTTTTTCAGTAACGTTTAAAATGCATGATGCAGAAGGGCGGCTCAGATGCTGAGGCCAAGACAAGATATTGGCAACTGCTATGGACACCACCAGCACAGAAGGAACAGCCTAGTGAGGAGGAGTTGGCTAGAAAGGCAGCTATCAAGGAGAAGCAAGGCCAGCGATTACGTGATATGGCCAATGCCAAACGTGAATCAAAAATTGCTGATTTGGAGGCGAATGTCCAAGGACTAGAGTATCTGCTACAGGTTTGTAGAAGGTGAAAATATTTCAAGTCATTCAGATATTGCATCAATTATGAGAGAGCTTTGATGTGTTCATTTAGATCCATCTGACCACCTGATCACTATCGTCGAATGGTTTGAAAGAACTATTTATTATGTAGCTTACTTTAAGAAAAATGTTTCTTGATTGTCATCATTCACATATAATTAATTTTTTGATTTTGTCATCATATCCTTCATTTTGCAGGAGCTGGATGACGCGGAAGATGAAAAGCAGGAATCTTCCATCCTTTTGCCATCTGGATATAATTCCAGACTTGAGGTGCAGGCTGCCCTTACAAAAGTCTCGGCCTCACTTCGAAAGGCCAAGGGACAACCTGCGGAGACTAACCCAGCAGAGGAAGATATGATTTCCTTGTCAGAACGATACCCCTTGGTTGACATTCCGAATAGCCAGCTTACAGCAGAGCAGGTAGATTGATATGTTTGATAATTGAATATAGTCTTTCATCTGTATTTTTTTTTTCTCATGTAATCTGGTAAGAAGGAATTTGGACTTGCGAGGTGCTGAGAAATGAACTTCCACCAGATATCTCTAGCAAGGAAGTTCTACCTCTACATATCATTGAGGAACTTTGCTATTATAAGATGCCATGGCTTACAATACCCTATTGCTTTTATTCCTCTTAAGTTGTGTGATTTTTTAATATGAGCAGATTAAGGAGAAAAAAAAACAGAAGTTTTTGAAGATGACTGCAGAAGGTCGAGCTCGTGCTAAACAAAGAAGACACGAACTCTCCTTACAGCGTGAACGTGAACAACAGTTAGAAGAGGACCGTCGCCTGTACGTTTCTCTACCTCTACATATGCAACTTTAGAATACCACCAGTTTTCCAACCTATTGATTTGTAGAGCTTCTTCGTCTTGGTTTCTAAAGTATCAAGAATATGTGTTTATGAATATTTTTGCTTACCTTGGATGAATTTCTTTTGAACAGAGCAAATCCAGAAGCGTACTTAGAGGAATTGCGTTCTAGACAAGCTGAGCAGCAGGCCAAGGTGGAACAACGCAAGCGTCAAAAGACAGGTTCTTATCATTCTCGTTGTTTCAGTTCTTTGTAGTTTGGATGTCTAATTTAGGACCGACTCTCTCTAACCCAAGCTTTGAGAACTTCTGGTTTCAATTTTATTGGTTTCTAGAGTTAGTACCATTCATGTTTTCAATGCTTCACGGATTCAAAGTTCTTCACTCATATAGAGTGAAATTCGTTGCAGGTGTTGGGCCAGGAGGTACTCCTGCGTTGGTTTCAACTGGTGGTACCGGTGGCCGTGGGGAGAGGTTGAACGCAGTCCAGAAAGAACGTTTGAAACTTTTGACAACAGCAGCATTTGACAGAGGGAAAGAGGAGGATACTTTTGGTATGCATGATGAAGACTGGCAACTGTACAAACGCATGAGTAAAGATGCAGATGATGTTGACGAAGCTGATGATGAAGATGCCGAGCTTGCCCGGCTCACTAGTCGACTTCAGGTATTAATTGCATTGCATATTCTTCAAGTCGCTGCTCATTCACAGTGAATTTTGCATGGTAAATAAGGTCATAACTAGCTCTAAGTCTAGTGCATTCCAGGACTTTTGTGAGGGCCTCCTATGAACCTAAAGAATCAATTCTTAGATCCCATAACTCACACTTGTTGCCTTGGCAGGAGCTGGACCCTACGTTCGTACCCTCAACAACATCCAACCTGGGCGCTCATGCTTCAGCTCCAGACTCGCTGCAACAGGGGCCACTTACTGCCGAAGATTTTCGGATATCATTGGGGGTGGAAAGATTTCGATGTCCTGAAATTACAATGCAACCAGCTATGATAGGAGTTGACCAGGCAGGTGTAGCGGAAATTGTTAGTGTTGCCCTCAGGCGCTTGCCACCACAATTTCGGAGCCAAGTTCTGAACGGGTCGATTCTTCTAACTGGAGGTAGCTCTCTCTTCGAAGGCCTAGACATGCGAATGCTTGCCGAAGTCCGGAAGACCAGGGCTCTCGGTTCTCAGATTAAAGTAGTGAGGGCTTTGAATCCTTTACTGGATGCTTGGCGTGGTGCATCTACTTTTGCTTCGAAGTCGTTTGAGAAATACTCCTTCACCAAGGCAGATTATGAGGAGAGAGGTCCTGAATGGTTGCGGTACTACAATCTGAAGTACTCGGTAGGAGGCTTTAGTGCATAGTTCTATGAGACATCCTTTTAACCAGGTCATTTAAATTTTTTAGATCTTTGTTCATTTACAAGACATTTGTTATAGATTAGTCGCAACCCCTCAAATGGTATGTAGGACAGGTTTGTAAAGTAAAGACTTTCTTTTGAGTCAACCAGCACGCATAATGCTCCCAGGTAAGTTAGAATGTGATCACAATTCAACCTTACAGAATCAATGACTAAATCACAGAGCTGACACTACTAAACACGAAAAATGAACACTTTGTGCCTGGTTCATTAAACAGGAAGACCTGGCAACTTGTGTACAAGTGGCCAAGCTAAACGCCATCATTGAATCTGTGAGATGAAACTTGATGCATAAACTGGGGAATCTTCATGAATCTCAGTCAATAACCAAGACTAAGCAATTGACCCCTGATTGATTTTAAAAGTGGAGAACCTGTTCTACCCAGATTTTTCCCCTGCTTAATCCATGCGAAAAAACATTCAACACATCTGGCACAACTTTGATATGCCTTAGTATTTTTTCAAAGCAATTATATTTTTAATGTTGTGCTGCATTCATCCAGTTAAGTCGTTTGTAGTGCTTGCTACAATTACATTTCCACCACTAAATTTTTACCATCCATATATTTTTTTTCGTTCTTAGGTAGATTATTATAACTTGTGAGATGTCTTGAAACAATTCTTGTGTCATTTTGAAGTATTTTGCAATTGGTTGCAATGTTTTTGTTTGCAGAGACCAAAGATCATTCAATACTGTAAAGCTCAATATATGGGTGTCATGTAATGCCAATTCCATGAAAATTTTGGCCTATAAAAAAGGACACTGACGTATAGGTTATTAAATTATCAAATATTCTTACTAATATTTACGATATTTATTTTGCAGAAAGTTGCATAGTATTTAGAATTTCAAAAATATTTGTACAAAATATCCTTTTACTATCTTCAGATCTTCATTCTTTCTCACCTCTTTCTAATGCAAATATGAATATTTTTGTTAAATACAGCATTTGATTACTAAAGATTTGGCAGCAGCCTCATAAAACTAGATTTTAAAATTTAAAAACTATTTACATTTCCCTAGCTATTCTCTCACAGATGGTCTAGATGTAATGAATGTAAAGGCGAAAAAAGTAAAAATAATATCTCACAACCATGAAAAAAGGTATCTCACAAAGCCAACAAAAGTATCAAATATCTTAGATATAGAGCCAAGTATTTGCTCAAGTACTTTTCTAACAACAGAAATATACACAACCGAATTAGCCCAACTTAATACCATGGTGATACATGGGTCGTGAAACATGTACACGGGACTCCATGGTATCATGCTCTGAAGGGTATCAATAGATGTTACAGTTATCCACAACGAGGGATCTGAATCCTCATCAGCCATTTCTCTGGCAGAACTCGCTCCGCTTCGCAAGTTTAAGCAGGAGCAGAGGTTTAGGGTTTAAGCATGCGGGAATTTACCATGTTCAATCTGAACTTAGTTGGGCGTCTAATTGTGCCAAAACTCCGTTTCTGATAATCAACCAAAGTCCATCTTTGTGCTTACCCTCCACTTTTTTTCTGACGCCCTGCATTGAGGAGTTCTTATCTATTGACGAGTAGCTGGAGTTTGTGAGGGTTGCAGGCTTGAGATTGGAAATTTAGACGGAGAGGCTCGAGAGTGGTAGAAAACGATGATGAGGGGAGGAACCTTGAGGGTGGCGGCTACTTCAGGAGCTGCAGTAGCAGTTGGAAAGTTTACTTCTTCGACGGTATCATCTGTTTCGTTGGGCGGGCTTTACACCGTTGTAGAGAGGCCATGGGTATGTTCTACTCTTTCTTCACACTCTCGGTGGCGTGAACTTGACTGAATTGTGTGGAATATGATCTATTTGACTGATTTACTCAGTCTATCTAGTTTATTTGGCGTTCTTTGGTAAGTCAGTTTTGTTCTGTGAATTCGTAGCTCTTGTTACAGTGGGTGAATATTTCTCAAGGGTTTAGAGTCTCAAAATTTTGATTTTGTAGGGATTGAAACAAAACAAACCAAATAAAAGAAAAAGACTTGAAGATTTTTCACCAATTTCATGTACGAGAACGACCCTATATAGGGGATTGAATTGCCCAGTCAATATGTGCAGTAGCTTATGTGTCCAGTGCACCGTGAGATTGCAGATGAGAGCTGCGTCACAATGTTCGAGTTGCCCAAGTCGAGTTGTGGAGTGTCGGTCGTGTAATAGAGAATGTAATAGCGAGTGTACGCTTTTGCCCGTTACGATGGTGGCTAGACGAAGTGCTTTCTCAACATGCGACAGCAATAAGTACAGTGTATCTTTACCTTGTTTGGTTCCATCAACCTTTTGCATCGTTCCTCCCAAATTCAACGCTTGATTGCTATATGTAAAACTTGTTTATCCCTGCGCCCATTGTTTTATCCTTACGAAACCGATGTATTAGTCATATTCTTATCCGAAATATTACGTGCAGGATCCAATGGCGCCCGAACTATTCGAGAAACGAGTATGCATACTTATCCGCTGCTAACTTGGACACGTGGTAGCAATCTGTATGGCCTGGTGCAGACTTTAGTCTCGCAGCAATGAATTTTAGGATGACTTGTCGGGGGCTAATTCACGTTTATTATGTGCTGGGAAAGCCGTCGCTGTTCTATGGCTATTTTAAGGCACCACGGTCCACCAAACTAGACACATTTCGCGTTTCATGACCTCAAGTGAAATGAGTATGCTCTTATTTTCTGTTTGAATCATTTGGTTTAAATACTTGGCATCATTAGCCTTACATGATGGAAGCAAAAGAAAAGGTAATACAATGAATAAAATGACATGGTTTTAATAGACCCTATAACTTGCCGTATTTCTGTGTTTGAACTGACTTGCAGTCACAGGCAACCGTGGCTTATCAGAGGAATGGCAGCTGGGAGTGCTGCGGAAGTTCTCGAACCTGCCGAGGTGCCTGGTTTGCCTGTTAAAGAGGAAGAAAGGCCAAGTAAGCCAGTAACTCCCAAGTATCTTATTGGCAAGACACAAGAAGAGTTGGAGGATATTGTGTTGTCCTTAGGCGAGGTAAGCTTTTTCATGTTATTTAAGTTTCCCTTCAAAGTGTTAATGTCACGAATTTACGCGAGATTATATTATCTGCTTATCATAATATGTTAATGCGAGAGGGTTCTTCAATATTTTAGCTGCGAAAAAATACATGAGCAGTGAAAGTAATTATTAGTATATTAGGGGATACTGGAGCATCAGCGATGCACCAACGAGCTTCAGCCCTAACAGAGCAGTCGCATCCGGAATGACCTGCAGCAGCTTAGTAGTACTTCACTTGACATTGGAGTGTTACGTAGTGCCTGTTTCGGGGGGTGTGAGAGATTTTGATTTTTCGTGCTGTGCACTTCATATTGGTAACTGTCTAATAAACTATTCTAAAAATATTGTGGTGCTATCCTGCAGCAAAAGTATCGTGGGAAACAAATGTACCAGCTTATCTACAAGAACAAGATCAAAACCGTCAAAGAATTGGCTCAATGTAATCACCTTTGTCTACTTGTTCTGCATCATTTTGTCTGCATCATTTTGTTCAGGTTGTGCACTTGCTAACCGAAAAATAGATGCTTGGCCAAAAATTATAATAATGGTGAGGGGGAAGCGGGAGGGGGCGCGTAATTTTGTTTGAAAACCTCAATGTTGTTCGCTCTTAGTTTGGACATCAATTTTTCCATTTAAAGTATGGTTATAGCAGATAAGGCTTATCATAGAATTAGCAGTATGGTAATTGTATCATTTTGTAGTGTGTATGTTTTGAGAAACTAATGAAGGCCTCGGTTGCCTTGGAAACACATGTAATCAGTACCTAAGCAGTTGCGCAATGCAATGACGGAAGCTGGCTGGAGTATTGGACGGTCCCCAATACATCACGTTTCTACCTCCAAAGATGGAACCGTAAAGGTGCTTCATCAACCGTCTTTTCTGCTCGTTGGTGCATCGCTGATGCTGCTTAATTATTTCGACCCCGCATAAATGAGCCAGAGCTACTGTGAACGCATGTGGTGATTTACACTTTTTTTTTTTTTTTTTTTTTTTTTGCAACTCCTGGGGCTCTCTTGAATTAACAAGCAGGGTGTTCTGGCCTGTTTTATTTGACTGCTGCAGATTTTGCTAAAACTGGAGGATAATAGACTTGTTGAAGCTGTTGGTATTCCGGTGAAAGACAAAGAAGGGAATCAAAGGCTGACTGTCTGTGTATCATCTCAGGTCTGAGCTCATTCGTACAGTGAAGGCTTCGTTATTTCATTCGAGCATTGGGTCAATACATTTCTATCCTCTTTGCTGGATTGATCCATAATCATGTAGGGCCTTGGCAAGTGCCATAAAATTTATGGCTTGATTGTAGATGCTTCAAGTGAAGTCTTTTGCAGGTGTTTAGAGAGGGTTAATGCCTCATCGTCATAGTGTACTCCAAGAAACGTTGCTGTACCATGCAGTTTTGATGACAAGGTTGTTTTATTCAATCAGTAGCGTTAGTGCAATTTGTATTCCAATAACCGTATTGCTCCTGACTAGGTAATTGTGTTTTGAAACGCGACTCTTGCTTTTGCAGGTTGGTTGCGCTCTGAGATGCGCATTTTGTGCAACAGGGAAAGGTGGTTTTGCTCGTAATTTGAAGGCACATGAAATAGTTGATCAGGTGTGACTGCTTATTTATTCTCCTAGTTTTGAGATTCTCTTGTTGGATCTCTATCGGTGATGATGTGCTCACTGGTTTTTTTCTGAGGTTATGTTTTAATGCTGGTGTTGGTCCTGTAGGTGCTTTCTATTGAAGACTTGTTTAGGCAACGGGTGACAAATATTGTATTTATGGGTATGGGGGAACCACTAATGAATCTCGACAATGTCTTAGACGCTCATCGCACCATAAATAAGGTACATATCTTTGTCTTCAGTTTAATTAGTGTTTTCGCGTGTTGCTTACTTCCATGATTTCCAAGTGTTGAGCTGCGCCTAGTGATGCTTTCAAAACTTGCGATGAAGTAATTTTCTCTTACTCTCGCCACTTTGGGCGTAACTGCTTCCTTTCTTGAAACTACTCAGGAGTTACAAATAGGGCAGCGAATGATGACAATTTCAACCGTGGGAGTTCCAAACACAATAAGGCGTCTTGCAACCCACAAGCTTCAATCCACGTTAGCTATCAGGTGCAATAACTTGAAGATTTGCCAATTGTTTTGCACGCCAGATATGTTTTTTGCACTATCCCTCTCCTTCGTGTAGGTTTCATCCACTATAGTCGTTTTAGTCAAGTTCTCGCAGAAGGCACTGATCGGTTTTATGGTTGCGTGTATCTTCGTATTGCTCAATGCTCATGATCAACGAAATGATTTTTTTATATGCAGTTTACATGCTCCAAATCAGGAGCTTCGGTCACGAATTGTTCCAAGTGCGAAAGGGTATCCACTGGACGCACTAATGGAAGATTGTAAATACTATTTTGAAACGACCGGACGTCGCCTATCATTTGAGTATACCCTTCTAGGTGAGTTACAGAAATATTACTGTTACATATGCACCAATGAACATGTTGATGCTTTCAACATGTTCACGAGTCCATTGCTCGTGAGTAGCTTGCTGGAGCTGCCTTGCCTAATACATCCTTTAATCCTCTGAAGTAGAATCCATACCTGAGAGTAGTTTTTTTGAAGTTGAATGTTCTCTACCTGACTTCCCTGAGGTCATGTTGTTGCTTCTTCGTGAACCCCTCTCGGATTTGTGTATTTTTACTGGGATTCCAAACGATGATGTTCTTGCGAGAGGTAATTTTTTATGCTCTGGTTACATTGCAGCTGGGGTGAATGACCAGAGAGAGCACGCTGAAGAACTTGCCACTCTGCTTCACCAGTGGAACCTGGGACGTCACGTGAACATTATTCCGTATAACCCAATAGCTGATTCTGAATTTGAACGTCCCACTAAAGCAAAAGTAAGTATTATTCTCTTCAAAACTGACCAAGTGTATCGCCCGTCAAATCATACTGCAACAATTGATGCCAGTTTGTGTTGCATTGCTTATCCCGGTTCTTAAACTTCATGTAACAATATGAACTTGATTTGCAGGTGCTTGCATTTGTTGAGACACTAAGCAAACGGAGGGTAACAGCCAGTGTCAGAGTAACGCGAGGCTTGGATGCCAATGCGGCTTGTGGACAACTGCGAAATGAGTTTCAGAAGATTCCCTTACAGGCCTCAGTAGAGTCACCCATACCCGTATAGATATTAGATTCCTCACTACGAGATGTTGTACTACAACATTTTATTTTATTTTATGTTATTTTCCCTTCATTAATTAGACTGTAAGAATATGTATGCATACCAGGTTTATGATACTTCGGGTGTTACAGTTTGCTAAGCTAGTGCATTACAAACTGCTCAAATATTAAAGTCAAGACAAGTTCTGGTTAACTCTGGTTGGCAGGAGTTGAAATATGCTGTAATTTTAATTCTTAAGATATCCCCTGTCTGCAAACACTTTTTACTAAGATTTAAGTATTTAATATTATTTGTGTGGTCTAATTAAGTTGGTTCCTTAGTGTAGTGGTTATCACGTTCGCTTCACACGCGTAAGGTCGCGGGTTCGAAACCCGCAGGGACTACTAACATCTAGATAACTGCGGGGTTTTCAGCTTTTGGAAGGCGGAGTTATGAGAAGCTAGGAGAGTCTTGTCCTAAATTACTTCTTGTTTTATGCCTTATTCATCAATTTGAACTTTGATAAAACATTTACAAAATCCATGACTTTAAAGTTCAAAGTTTCACTAACTTCTTATTAAGTTTCTTCTATATTGATAAAAGCCACATTAATACTAGTTAAGTTAGCCAAAGTACATCTTATGTAATAATCTCTATATTAGCTCACAAAGATCACAAAGTTTTAGATCTAAAATGCTTAATAAGATTCAATAGAGATTTTATTATGTTTCTTGTTTGATATTGGATGGCATAAGAAAATAGTTGGCCACCAAGCATATGCAAATAATACCAATTAATCTAAATCAAATAAAATTTTAAAACTAAATGGATTGGATTATGTGCATAGATTTTAGCTATTTAGTATCCAATGAAAAAGATCTAGAAGTATTTCATGATGAAGCTTTGATAGTGAATGGTTTCTACTACTATTTTTATAACATTCATCTACTTTCAATTTTTAAATCACAAGAATAAAGAGTTAGAGCAAAGTCAAATACAAGCTTGAAGATAAAACATCAAATAAAAGTAAATTCAATAAACAATTTGAAGATTTTTTTTTTTGTGATAGCCTTTATATTATAGTATTAATCAATTATTCTAATAGAACTGTATAATATATAGAAGCTATTTCAAATTTATATATTATAAAATTTAAATTAAATATTCTCTCATTAAATATATATATATATATATATATATATATATATATATTCAAGACAATTGGCTATGCTTTTTAAAGTTAATTTAAGTCATTTAAATTTCTAAATTTTACACTACAATTAATAACATGTATCTTACAACTTCTAATTTAAATTTTATAAAATGACAAGACATCAATTCTTGCTTGTGTATATGAAAATATCTTAATGTTGTTGTAAAGATAAATACAAGAGTTGCATTGTAAGTTTTATATATATATATATATATATATATATATAATAAAATTTTTATCAAAATTCAAAATGATGAATAAAATATAAAAAAAGAAGTAATTTAAGGCACAACTTGTGATTTTTGCATTAATTTAATTGCATCCAATCTTATGAAGAATCCAATCTACATTCTTATCTTAAACATTCAATGGCTCTTCTAAAAGATTGGAAGGATACAATTGAATGCTTTCCAATAAGTTCATGCTTAATGGCTAATTATTTTTTACTAGACATTGTAACAATAATATGTCCTTACAATGACATTAGAGATATAACATCATCCATGGAGCAAAATTTTGATTGAATTATCTTTAAAAGTATTATAGACCACTAATTATCTTGGGCAATTTAAAATCTAACAACATTGTGCTTGATTACTTGTCATAGACATAATTATTTAGTTATATTAAAGGAGTTAGATAGAAGTAAGTAGAAGTAAGTAAATTTGATAATATCTTGTAAAAGAACTTCTTGGAAGCTTCATAGGCATAGATTTGACTTTATATGTATTTACATGTAATTGATAGGTTGAATACTTGGCTAACAAGTTGCCCACGTGTTACACATGTTGGTGACTTGTGGTACAAGTTGGCCATATAGCACATATGTAAGAAATTTGTTTGGCAAGTTAGACATGTGTCACAAGTCCTATAGAAAGTTCCTACATAACTTCTAGTTAGAGGGTATACATGGAGGCAAGAATGAAGCTTTTTTCAATAAGCTTTTATAAAATATAATTATCATACAAGAGCTTATTGAGAGCAAAGTAAAATAAGAGCACAAAAAAAAAAATAATAATAATAATAATTGATATAATATAAAAGACAAAGGATTTGAAGTGCAAAGAAATAAGAGGTGAATCATGTAAAAATAGGAAGAAAGAACTTTCTACCAACTTTTACCAATGCCCATTTTTTCCTATACAAAATTAAAAATGAGGAGAAAGAACTTATATACTTTCTACCCACCTTTGATGCTAGTTCATATTGTTTCCTTTAATTAAGCTTATCTTCTTTGTCTCCCACTATGAAATTTACACTCTCTAATGCTATACACTATTGTTCACTTCTATTGACTTTTCCATTCTTCATTTATTTTTCTCTCAGGTAATATCTAACCTCTGTGCTGTCTAATGAGTTACAATTGAACAATGAGGTAAAACAATTATCTCTGAATAGGAACCTATTTTTTATACCATGATCCTTTTTGACGTCCGTGTGGTAGGTTATCTACAGTCACGTTGTGGGGCTAGAGCAATCACTAGCCTAATATTTCCACCGTTTAATGCTGGGGCCAAAGTTTCCCCACTGTCAATCTCACCCTTTGGCTTTTAACCACATCATCCAGCCTAGATTTGTTTTTCTATCAGAGTTCCATCGGCTGTGTGTTAAGACCCACCTGGTCAGAACCGGAGTTTTTCCAGGAGCAAAGGCAGTTAATTTCCACATTATTCTTCAAGGATATACAACGAACATTTTCTCTTCCATGGCTTATCACTATCCAGATGTCTAGCAACGTCTTTAGAACTGCTGCATTCATTTGGAAGGATATGATTCCTGCGAAGGAACCGTGAAAGCCTGAGATGGTATGATCATATTCAATCAATATCTCAGCTGTCTATTTTCAGCCAAGTTGTAGAGATCACGTAGCTTTTGTAGGAAAGATAGTCGTTGTATGCATCGGATGCAGACCTCGGATTTATGCCAACTTGATTTGAATCGTGCGGAGTGAAGGTAATGACACTAGGTGGTGCAATGCAGATGGTAAGCATGTTGATGATACTGGTAGTGTCGGCGACGGAGATGGCGATGGGCGAAGTTTGTTGGATGGGCAAACTTTGACGACGTGGGCAAGTCATCCTCATCCTCGCTGTGTGCTAACTCTGTGTTACCGTTTGTGGTTTGAAGGCAGCTGACCAGACGTGAAGAAGTAACGAACAATGTGCTTAGTGAAGTCGCATCGGTGACAAGACAATGCTTCCTATCGATGAGATATTCTGAATAATGGGGGATAGTTGGTTCGTCCCTCCATGTGGGTAACTGATGGCTGGAAATCGGCGTGTCACAATGACTCCAATTTTAAGTTTGAAGCTACCGCCAGCCACAGTTTTCGTCTGAAATAGCCACAATAACTTCTTTTTATTACTTTCACGTGTGTCAGAGTAGTATTTGTCTTCTGTGCGTGCAAGGTGGAGGTGAGTTCATCAAGTGTCGGAAGCTGTCGTTCTTGTGCAATATCCAGACAAAGATAGAGAATCCAGATGGGTATCTGCTTTTAGCCACTACCAGGCTGTTAGCTCTTTGATATCTGGTCGAGGTGTACGTAAAACTGATAGATTCATGATAACCATGGCTCATTATTTTCTCCTAAGCTGGTATTGATCCGAAGTTGATTCGATCGTGGTTATCGATCCTCCTCCAATTCTCCAGAGTATGAAGAAGCCGCAGCGACTTGGGCCAAAAATGCTCTGGAAGTCGAAATTGACGAAGAAGCTGTTAACTGGTCCTTGGTGCTGTGGAGAGAGATCTTTTCCACTCACTCTCAAAGACCACATTCCACGAGTTTTCCGTTCCATACACACATTGTAGTGCTGATTTCAACGAATTTTCCCTCATGCTTGCCATTAGCATGTTTTGAAAAAGTAGAAGAGTAACTATGATCCTCATTTCAAGAAGTTGAGAGGGGTAGAGGACATAACATAAATGGCTGCTGCGCAACTTTGATGAAGAAAATATTTTTCTCAACTGTAGACTAGGCCAAGCCAGAGAGAACTCGATGAAGAGCGGAACTGTTGCACAATCAGACATTAAATAAACCTGAAATTTCCGTTTTGATGTCATGAGGAAACCACCTAACACATGACAACAGTACTTGGACTAATATAAAATGCCCCGGAAAATGCCACGTACAGAAATACGTGGTGCGTTGTGCTTATGTCACTCTGCGACCTCAGAAGTAGTGTTGCAATTGTTGGAGTCATTGTAGTGGAGGGGTTTCTGACGGTTCGTGAAGGGTTGTAGAGGTCTTGTGAAGCTTTATGTTCCAAAATTGTCAATGGTTTCAAATTCGCAATAGTTTCAAGTCCAGCTAAGATGATACGACCATGGCAAGCCTTACACTGATAATGAGAAATTGTTGTTGACCAGAAATGACCAACGCAAGGTCTCAATTAATCCAACAAGAACGTAGACTTGTTAGCAGAGCAATTGGGAGTAAGTGCAAAAACCAGAGAATAATTCTTCGCACAATTCAAGCTTGCTTGCTTCTCTTTGTTGCCTGTAAAAATCAATACAAGAGTTGTTGTTTTGACCCGATAAAAAAATGTGGTATCAGCGCTATCGTTGGACAGGCTGGAGTAGGATAGTTCCATGCTAAAAGGGTATGACAGCCTGCCCCATCTATATCATCATGCTTCTTTCTAATAGGTCTCTAAATACTCACGTGCATAAAATCAGGGGCAAATTTCCTCGCCCTGTCTGTTTGATACCATCCCTGATTGACCGTGGAGGATAGTGTGCCCAAGTTCTGTGGACTATCATTCTGGAGCACTCGAAACTGCTGGGAAGCTGATTAGAACAACACTAGAGGGTGGTTACTTCACAAATATGGGCCTCGTGCGATTTCTTCAGTGGCATATGTTGAATCTCGCTCATCATTTTGGGTCTCTAAGTCCACTCCTTTTGGGTTAGAGATATTGAAAAGTTTATTTTTCGTCAGATTGCAGCCAGAGCTTCAACATAATCACTCTCTGCTCTGTACTTGCGATGCATAGATTTCTCAGAAATTGGCAAAAGTTGTTCAAATTCATGTCATTGCCAGAAAAGTAGGCCGTAGTGTTTAACCTTGGCTACAGTCAGTAGAAGTTTAAAGGTTTTTGACTAAAACGAAACCAGCAAAAGCAAAGACAATAAGCCTGACAAAACAAGTGGCATTCCTTGACTCCACTAAATACGAAATACAACGGCTGAATACTTGGATGGTACGTGGTTCACGCAGCCTGTCCAACTTCAAATCGTAGAGCTAAGCTTCATGCGCAGAGATCTTAGGACTAAAACATCTAAGCGTTGCTGTATGAATAAATGGGACCACAATCCTCATCAATCGATCCCGAGGAAAAAACAGCCAAAGCTCTTGAATGAATGTCTGTGACTAAATGTACACGAGAAAAGAACTTGAAATGTTGAAGAGAACCTCAACAGCCGAAAGTACAGTAATCTAGAGATCCTACCATTTAGGAACCTCACCTAAACCAAGGTCACATGCTGTTTACGTGTTTCAAGTCTTTGGAAATGATTGTGACCAGTCCGCCGAGGGGGGGCTTCATCAATGCTCTGTACGCAGCCTCATCATAGGGGGCCTGTAGAGAGGATAAGTAGGGTCGGAAGGAACCAACATTTCTATTCTTGGCCTCTTCGATCACTAAGGGCTCTTCCTTCTTCATTGGGTAGAAGATGGAAACAAACCCATCCCATGAAGGACGTCTTGCGCGTGTAGAGGCTGGTCCTGGAATTTCAAGCTGGGCGACAAGGTCTTCGTCATCTTTCCTGAAGCTAGAAAACACGTCTTCTGTTGCATCCGGCGATGTACAAGTAGTAGTGCCCGTGATTGACGAGAAGGAAAAAGATCGCGTTCTCGTGCTGCCTGCTAGTTCAGGTCCCTCCGACAGCTTGCCAGAGGAAGTCTTGCTATCCTCTCTCTTTGGGCTCACATCAAATATTGGCTCTAGTTGAGAATAGTCCGTTGAAACTGTATATCAATAAAAAGAGACGAAACTTGTGAGTTGAATACTTAATCCACCATGTAACCGTTTCAAATCCCGAAGTTCATTGAACAACGTCACGAAATTAGTATTTGGAGGTGGTCAGTTTATAACCTGCTTTTTGTCTGAAATCCTTCGGAGATTTAAAATCTTCTGCACAATAACTGATGGATCTTCTCCGAGGAGGTTTAGTAAGAGGTGACATTGAAGGCGTGAACTTTGTAGGTTGTGGCTTTGGTACTACCCTGTAATCTCTCGTATATGCAAAACCCAACTTTCCTCTGGTTGAATGGTCAACAAAAGTGCATATACCCTGTTATCAAAGATAGAATGCCAAGCCTCAGTACTAAAAAAATTTGGAAGTACCTTAATCAATGACGACCAGATGACACAGTAAATGAAACTCATGTACAACCTAGGAAAACGGGCATGCTATCTCACCTTCCAAACATAATAGAACATAGAAGAAGCATCCACAATGAAAGCTTTGGCCAGCCTCTCTGGATAATGATCGGCAAGCATCTTTAGAGTGGTCAGAATGCCACTAGTCGACGGAGCACTCATTCTTGAATAACCTGTTGAAAGACGTGAACGACGTGCACAACGTGAGCCAAGATAACAGAAAAAGTCTTCCCAGCTCTTCGCTGCCTACTAGTCATTTTATTTGTAGCTCGCACGCTGAGGCAAGGTAAAAGTTACCATCATTACTGAATTTAACTAACATAACGGTACTATAATTAGTTTCACATTTGTTTAAGAATTTCAGCCTTGAAAACCTACGGATAACCCCGAGCGCAAGACGCAGGATAAAGCAAGCTCCCTGCAGCAAGAACGCCACGGATCCACTAAGTCGGAAGTTGTGAGGGGATTTAATGTGTTTAACAGTTGAATAAATAAAACGGAGCTGAGCATATTACCCCCAGCATCAAGAATGAGGACCCATTGGTCAACTCCAGGAGGCATGGAAGCTATCGCGACTTCCATTGTGAAGATTATGTACCGAAGATGCCTGTTTAGCAACGTTACTCAATTGAGTGCCAATCATTGTGCAGCAGTTACAGTCGATGAACAAACCATTTTGACCAAAAAAAGAAAAACACCCTGACACATTTTCAAGTCAAAATTGTGGCTCAGATACTGACGCTACAAAATGATGATGAAGGTACTCTTTCAAGTTAAGAGAAACACAAGTAGCATCCATAAACTCCATCTTGGAAGAGAGTAAACGTACTGTTTATGACTACCATTGACGATGTACTCAGGCTTCTTCTTAACAACCTGCATTCGAAAGAACAGGTCTAATGTCAAGAAATCATCCACCATTATTCTCATGAACTTACTACAGATTGTGAAGTATGAAAGCAATGCATTCCGCAGTTCATCATCTAGATATCCATGTGCTTAGACGACAGGGAATCGGGAAACAGTTGCAGTTTGCATCGTTGACAACGCATCGAAAATAGGTTGTAGGTGCTATCTAGAGAAGCGTTACCAAGATAGGCCGACCTTCTTCGTCGTGCCCTGCAACGTAAGCAGCTCCTGCCGCAATTTCAGCTGGAAATTCGTCCGCAATCAAGTATCCTGTGAGCAACACGTTTACTTCAAGTCACAATTGGCGCAAAGCATCATGAAACATGCATTCAGACGACTCCTCTGAACACTAAAAGTTACTCTGGTGAGGCAGCTACCGATATTTATCTTTTCCCTCCAGTTTAGAGTAGCTCTCAGCATCCTTGCCGCTCGTCGGACGTTGTTCCCACGAGCTTTCAAGTAACGTGTTACGCAAGCATCGTCACAAAACTCAGCCTGCCGGAAAAAGCATGTCAAGATCGGGACATATTCTTTGACTGGGATCATCAGCCAAGGTTAATATTGAAAAGTTCTACATATACCCAAAAAATGTTCTTGCTATGCTAATGCAGTAACCAAGCGCCGAATAGACTCAATACTCGCCATCGCAGTAGGAGCTATCGTCAAGAAGCAATCCTCTCACATGATGCATCAGTCAGAACTAGAGTAGTATCAAAGTATGAGACATGGGATTATTTTCATTTAGAGTCATGCCTGCTTTTTGTCAAGAGGACCATCTTTCTGTACGAGTCGTAAAACTTGTTTGATCATGTCACTTAAGCTAGCCTCCGGCTCCACTTTCGCAGGGTGCACCAGTATAGGATTTCGCTCCATGTTATTTTTTATTTTTTATTTTTCTCCCTTCACCTGGAAACAATGGCTCTCTTTCAAAGCACAATCAACCTAGAATCTTGCATTTCACCCGCCCACTCGGAAGTTAACCCTCACCAAGAACCACCCACAAGGGTTCGGCATTTCATCCCTCGTGTCCCCAAAGACAAGTGCGTGACGAACTGGACCCGGTTCCTGTGTCCAGTTTCGTATCCATTTCTACCTACACTCAGCTGAAAAAACAAATTTTCGATTCTATCTCTGCAGCTGTGCTCACTACAAAATCAAAACCTTCAAACACTTCATATCCGCTCGCTACCCCGATCCAACGCACTTGGAACAATCTACAGATTCAGGATAACTCGCCTCTCGCACCGCACCCCAAAAACCCCCATTGCACAAAACCACACCCAAAACCCCAGAGCACGACGCCAAGTCTAAACTATCCACTTCTCCCCCTCTGTCAACGTTCTAACACAGCGCCACGCTTACTCCAACAGCATCCGAGAGGCATTCATGGAGACCAAACAATCTACGGGCCAATTCATCTCGGACTGTGGTAGACGCACTCCCGTCATCAGCAAATTCGGGGGCAACAAAAATAAAGTTCCCAAAATCTTTACAAATCCCAGCACGTCGCCCCAGAATAAGGCCTAACAAGAAACCCACCCGAACAGATCCACCCCGTCTGTAAAGATCAGCACGAAAAGAAGAAGAGTGCGGAGGAGCTGGGTTATGGACCATCCGTGGCAGAAAGGACCGGTCAGTCCGTCCGACATGGAACCATTGGCGTGAGCTGGGGGAGTAGTAGGCTACAGCCCAATTCGTTGAACCGCAAATTGCAAAAGGGGCCGGGGTGGCCAGCAGCGGTGAATCCGGATCCCTCACATTCAGGCGCACATGAGCAAGAGAGGAGTTGCGGAATCGTGGGCACTGGGGCCCCCCCTTTCGCATGTGGCTTCCTGGTTTCGTGATGCTAAATGGGCTCCTCTCTGTTGCCTGGGTTGTGGGTCTCCGCCATCGCTGGGCGCGAGCTTACTTGCTTGCTTCCCTGCAAGCCTGCAAGTCTGCCCTGCCTGCGACATTGATCCACTCCTCCTCTGCGACGTTCATCCATCCATCTTCATTTGTATATATTCAACATTCATCGTCGTCGTTCATCTGTTTTACCGGTTTCTACATTCATCCGTTTCGAGCTTCTGTGCGTATCAGTGCGTTCATCTTCCGTTCTTCGTGTCCTTTTGGATGAGTGCGGGGGATCGAATCCTCACAATGACACTATGTCCATGGTGAATGTGGGGTTTTTTTTTTTTTTTTTTTTTTTTTTTGGAACGAGTGCTAAATAGGATCACGTGTGCTCAATTCTTCTCCAAATTGGGTTTGCGTGCTTGTTCGCCACCACTTGCTCCATGTGTTGGGGATTACCATAGAATTTGGTATTTTTCTTGAATAGTGTATGAGGATATAAATAAATAGCTACCTGTTGTTTAATATTAGGAGTCTGGAAGGAGTAAGTTAGTTTTGCACAGATGCTGTCACCTTGAAGTGGGGCACATGTTCCACATCCACTCCCTTCTAACAGTTGCAGGTAGAAAATCTTGAGTGTTGAGCCAGATTTGTGGTAAAACTTGAAACACTTTTAAAAAGGTTTTTGAAAAGAAGGAAAAAGGTAAAGGTCAAGAATGTAAAGAAGAATACTAATCTTCTCCCTTTCCCCCTTTTAATTTATTTAGAACTCTGTTGATGCAAACCAACACCCCGTATCTAAATCTCATTCTGCACAAAATGCCAGGCTTTAGTGGTTTTTGTGGTCCTGCGCTTTGCTATACTTTGACACACATGTCAAAATTGCAGTAAAGAGATTGGTATCACAAAGTTGATCTTGTGCAGCAACTTTGCAGAGGAATATCCTCTTTTTATAAAATTTCCAAAATTCGACCCCACTTTTTCCCCTCTATGAGATGTATTATCATGAAAATTGGGATGTGGGTGTGTATATATATATTATTTGCACAATTTGCATTCATAAGCTAATATTCCTCACTTAGTTAATAATATTTTTTGGAATGGAATTTGGTCCTAGGTTGTAAAGTTATAACCTTGCTTTATGCAGAATTATATATATATATATATATGTATTATTAGAGTTCCTAAATGTTAGGGTTGGAAAAGAATGCCTGTTTCTGAAGGTAACCCCAACTGCAGTGTAGTTTGCAACTGTAGAGCTCTAGTAAAGGTTGTGGTGCCACACCCATGTGACTGAAGATCTCACTTCAGTTCCAGTTCTGTCTTAGGATGATATTTGGGAATAATATTACTGGAAAGTAGCATATATGTATTCCTCCTTTTATTAATATACTTCAGTTCAAATTTGCAGTGGGATGTCCATCCCCATGCCTATTTTACTGTTTCATGCAAGTACATGGCCATGTACTACGGCGAACTGGTTTCACAGCTTGACTGTGCACTATGTGTATGTGTTGCAATTAAATAAATATGTAAATAAGGGATAGTGTGTTATCATGTGTGCCATGACCTTGGCATACCAGAGAAAAAATACACCCACCCAAATAGACCTTACTTAATGCCACTGGAAAGTAAACATTTGGCTGCATGGAAATAAAATTTACTTGTCTGGTTTGTAGGACTTTATTACTGTATTATAATCCTTTACAGCAGTAATCAGTGTATATGAACACTGATTGCATATTTAAACCATACTTTTTACTAAACCAAAATTGAGGATACTTTGTAAAATGATCAAAGTTTATTTGATAATTCATAAATGAAACTTGTTTTTGTTTTGTTATGTTATTCTTTCTCCATCAAAAGATTAGATTTAAGGGCCTTTACTAGTATCATTGTTTTGGCAAGCACTCAAAAGACAAAACATAAGCCTTTTTGGAATCCTCTTTGCAACAAGGGACTCTTTTTTTCAACATGGTTTATATACAACAACAAACCCAGAGGAGGCCAAATAACAAGGGATTATTATTATTATTATTATTATTTACTTTCATTTATTGTTTTATTTTCACACACAAAAAAGGGTAGGGTTAATGGTTATTTCAAGATAAACAGCATGGATGCAGTGATGAAAACAAATGATTCACTTGATATGCAACAGCTTTTTCACTAAAAATAAAGACTGGTTCTAAGAGTAAAAAAATAACAATAAGAACTTCTGAACACATTATGTACAGTGCCAAAGCCTTCCTCACTCACTTGGCACTGCATCCAAAAGTTATGATCTTCAGGTGTGTGGGACTTTACATGGACCATCATATTGCTAAGGGAACAATGTTGCCAGGTAAGTGAACATTGTGTCACCAACTGTGGGATCTCAACTTGTCTAATTACAGTGAAAATGTGCCGTTCCCATGATCTGGCATTGACTGTAGACTTTCTAATAAAGCCCAGGGGATCACCTCTGTTTCCAGAATAGTCTAAGATTCCAGAACCTGCTGAACCTTTAAGCTATTCTATCTTCCTACAATCTTTATTTATGGATATATAGCTATTAGTAAAATGGCACAGGAAGTAATCTCACAAGTGGGGTTATGTGAGTTGCCCACAGTGCTTATGATCCATAGCTAGTGCAAAAACCCACTCCACTTGGACCTTAGGAATGTTTACATGCACAACCTGAAGCTTTGCAACCTCATTCATGGATGGCTAGTTTTTAGGGTTTGAAGGCAAGATCCCTGCTGAATAATCTAAGTTGTAAGCATTGTCTACTGAACATAGTGATTCCTAGCAGTAAAACTAGTAAACAAGTATTGGTTGGAGCAACTACATGACAAGCTGTGCATGGTGCTACATTCAAGGCAGTCTGGCAAGAGAAAAATGAACAAACCTTGAAATTCTATTTGATGTTCTAAAAGTGTTATCTGTATGTGTGTATGTATGTATGTATATTTATGTAGACTTGGTATACCATACTAGAATCTTCTATAACAGTTTGGGTGGAAATTCAAACCATTGCTAACTAAAGTCTCAAAAATTCAAAATTTTGTTGGAAATCTTTGACAAAAAAGTAGCTGGCAAAATAGATGTTTCTCTTCAGAAAAGATGAGGAATTTGTGTGAATTTGCATGGCCTCAAGGTATAGATAAATAGAATTATTTATGTTACTAAAATTATCAATCTGAAATTACACCCAGAACTGGAGTAGCATAAGTGGCACTTGGTGTAGGATCTGTGGATCAATATGGTTGAACATAGCATAGCACAGAATAAACTTCATCTGTTTCCAAAGAAAAGAAAATGAAAGAAAATAAAATAAAAAAATTCACACGTTTCTATATTTATCATGACTATATTAGTATTGCACAAGTAGCTTTTAGAAACTGAGGCACACTTCCCAATCAATGGACCCAAGCTTTGCATGGTTACAACTTGGAGCATCTCCACAGTTGGGATCACAGAAGCATTGGCACTACATACTTAAAAAAACTAAAGGTATTTTAAGGAATACCAAGTTAAAGATAATAGGCGACCAGAACCTTATTCCATTTCAGTAACCCACATTGTGCACCATGTGTGTTTATTTATTTTACTAATGGATCTTTCCTTTACTAGCTGCATTTGAATGATTTTCTGGGGATTTTGTTGTAGAGGTGGTATGTTTAACCTTTAGTGACATATATGCACCCATTAACAAAGACTGACACTTGTGTGGATTGAAATAGGTCAATAAACCCCCCCCCCCCCAATCATTCCTCAATAGGACACACATTTAAAGTAAAACTTGGAATTACTTGGCATCACATGCACAACAACAACAATGGCATGTAGATAAAATGGATGAATTATTGAATCTATAAGAGATGACTGAGTGGGTGAAAAAAGGGGAGAAAGACGTTGTGAGCCTTTGGATGCTGCAATTTATTGTTTATGGGTGGATGGTTTTCTGGAGGCATGTTGGCTATGAATCTATGAGATGAATGGGGAGCATCCATGTTTTATATTATCACCAAATTTTGTCCAAAAAGCAATTCTCACATTGTCACATATATTGCATGTGTGGAAGCATTTTCTCTTCTCCAAGGTGCACATACAATAATTCATCCTTCCAAACCTGGTGAAGTTCATTCCAATTTGGATCATAGTCCATTCTCCATCCATAGCAAACAAGTTTCAATTCAAAGTTTTAGCATGGCAATTAGTTTGATAAAATAGCCAAGCACGTTGGCAAGATAGAGTAGATTTACACATAAAATGCCAGGTGGTACATATGTTAATTTTATCTTACCTCATGGCGGAAATTAACTCTCATGTGAGGCACATTTGTCTTGTGAATGTCATTGCCAAGTGGACCTCTCTTGTAGTAGTTTGGTCCAATCCATCTCACCTGAATTGTAAATCTATGTATTGTTGTTGTTGTTTTTATTTATTTATTTATTTATTTATTATCATAAGTGATTGAGTTGACAAGTTAATGTTATAATATAGTCATAGAAGGTAACAGCATGCCATGCATGTTTTTAATTTTCCAATGTGAAATTGTAAACTTGCCAATCCAGGGCCAAAGAAATGCCACTCACTTTGGACTCATGAGAAAACCCAGATTGATAAACTGAATTTCTTGCAATCTCACAAAGATCACAGGCACTCAACTTCCACACCTAAAATACCCCACCTCAATCTTTTCTATGTAAAAATACAACCTGAAGTGTCATTTTTAATTTTATTATTTGAAATCACACCAAATATTTCAAACAAAATCTTGAATAAGTGTCAACCATACATTGTTGGAACAATTACACATTAAAATCTGGTTGAGAGTGGTATATATATACATAC